GTAGTGGTGGTAGTGGTGGTAGTGGTGGTAGCGGTGGTAGTGGTGGTAGTGGTGGTAGTGGTGGTAGTGGTGGTAGTGGTGGTAGTGGTGGTAGTGGTGGTAGTGGTGGTAGTGGTGGTTTGTTTGCACCGCGGCCAGGGAGTCCAGGCGTTGCGACAGGGATTGGGTCAGCAGCACATGGTGCCACCGGCTGCACATAGGCAGCACGCAGCTGTTGTGCGTACCGGAGCTCGCCACACCTCTAAAGTTGTGGCACATAGAAAAGGGTAATTAAAGAATTGCGCATCAGCTCAAACGCATATACACGGCTCACTTCAGTTGAAATCCCCTCATCTTCAGCAGCTCACGGTCAGCATGGCATAATCGGCTCAGGTGGCGAGGAGTATATCCAATAAGAATTGTTCTATCTCCAGCCGTCCATGGCGTAGTTGCATGTGGAGTATGTGGCGAAAACTGCACATAAGGTAACTGTATGCGAAGCATAGTTCCTGGTCCAGATTCCTGATCCAATGCATGTGCCCCGCCCGCGCTTTGCAGCCACAAGCAGCCTCCCACCCATCGCGAGCATGGTATCACGGTGTTCATGAGCTCCGGCTCGTTGCCGATGTCGCGATGACATTGCAGTTGAATGTTGCGCTGGAGTGTGAGCGAGGCGAAAGTGGCCTCCGGACACATTCCTTTCATAATCCCTGCCAGGGCCGCTGTAACTCTCGGAAAGAGGGCAGTATTGTTTTGCACGCCCGTGGAGTGGGAGAATGTAAATGCACCAGTGGAAAAGCATTTGCGGTTTTCACCATCCAGACATAGAGGTCCTCTGCGTTTGGCCGATGTCTTCTCTGGCAGCAGATCCAGCAACCGGGAAATATCATGAAAAGAGGCCTTACCAGTCTGTATGAAGAAATGTGCTAAGTGCTCGGCCGTTGAGTCCTGTTCAAGCGGCGGCGGGAGCGAAGCCAGGGCTGACACATCCAGGGTGAGCTCCGTGTAGGTGGCGGGAATATTCCACTCCAGGAACGGTGTATCCGCTGACGTGTCATTGGCGGCCTGAGAGGATCCGGGAATGTGGAGTGGATTATCTTCGGTGTACAAGACCGTGGACTGGGGTGAGCTAGTGAGCTGAAGTGAGCTAGGATCCGATGCAACTGAGATCAGACTTCTGGGGGAGGGCGTTTCGACTGGGCCGTGGAAGTCCGGGTGTGCCGAGCCCAGGATTGAAGGCAGCTCAAGCTCCCAGTCTTCATCCGAGACCTCCGGGGGCTTACTGGGCAGCATGAGATTGACACGCGGATCGCAGCATGACTGAGCCAGACTTGCAGATCGGCACGAAGGGCATGGGTGAGACGTCCTGTGAGGAGGTATGCAGGAATGCAAGTGGGGGATACTGGCATGCAAACGGAGAACATTACGGCTTGTTTTCACGCTCACTGAATTTGCAGTGCAGCGTGCCCACGGCGAGGCCCCCAGGCATCGCGGTCGCGAACAACCTGACGGACAGACAATGCGAGCCAAGTTGCATGGAAAGGGGAAAGTGGAATGCGCGAGCTGCCGACCTAGTGTGTCGGCGCCTCCCCGCGCCTGCATATCAGCATGTAAACCTCCCTGGAACAAAACTGAGAGCCGACCACAAGCCGCGTGTCAGCTGCAAGAGGCTGAGGCACGTCTCCATCATCGCAAAACATGGTTTCACCTGCAGTGTGTAGAAGAGTGGTGTAGTGTCCTGAAGTAATCCTGTCACCTCGGTGTAAAATTGCCGCCTCTACGGTGTAGGTGATGTTGCAAGAGTCTAGACCTGCATCAACGAAGAGCGGGATGTTCAAGGTTCGTGGCCACCTAATGCTAACGTGGTTCTTACGTGCACCTGTGGATCCAAAAGAATATCGTGAGAACTGAAGCATCAAAAGCATTGGTGGATGCCTGAGCGCATGTACGGCATGTTGTGTATGCCAACAGTGAATGAGAAACTGGGCACTCAGCGGCTCCCCTTGTGGCAACTCGAGAGAGATAGCCTGGCTACAGCCCGCCTCCTCAATTTGTTGTACATGGGCGCCCTCCAGCCTACGTGCGCACCAATCCCCGTTCATGGCCTGCGGACACATGGTCCGACAGAGGTGGTGTAGAAACTCCGCACAATCATGTTGGTCTTGTGCCCTAGCCCAGCCTGACAGCATGAACCTCCAGGGCAGCATGCCTGGTAGGAATTGTGGGGTATCAAAGGTCGCATGTAGTGAGCGGATGGCCTGGGCACCTGCCACAAAAAAACCCCTTTTCAGCATCCACATCCTGCGGGCTGGTAGCGTCACTGACGTGTGCCCATAGCAATGCTCTAACTGCGGAGTTCAGGTAGCACCAATTACTAGGGTTGACCAGCGTGAGGCTCCTCAGTGAAACGCGCAGTCTAGGATCTGCTTGATGAGTGGCGGGCGCTGCATGGTCGAGCGCTTGAACTGCAGTCCGACTAGCTGGAGCGATGAGTTCCCTTGCAGCGTCGTGAGGCCTTGAAACAGTTGCGTCGCCTCCGGGCATCTGAGTGCAATATCCATCATGACTCTCACTGTTTGGCCCTCCATCTGCGGCTCGAGCTGTCGAAGCACATGGAAGCGAGAGAGTGTCTCTGGGTGGATCAGCGACTGAATCTCCTTGATGGTCCGGAGGAGCTCCTCGTGAGTGAGTGCACTTCTGCTGCTGTCCACCTCGAGCGCACGCAGTTCGGGGTTCCAGCGTTGATACACCCAGCGGCCGCTGCTGTCGATCCAGCCTGAGTTCTTGGCAAGGGTTGTGTTCGCCTCGGACGGCTGTTCCAACGTGTTGATGACGAACTGCATCAGGCTCCAAAACATGGCCTGCTTGAGTGGCGTGTCTCTGAGCTTGCTGTCCTTCTTCGTCACCTGCTCGCGCCATAGCTCTGCCGCCTCGATCAAGGTGGGAATCACTGTGGGCTCCGGGATGCGAAGCCACCAGATCCACCCGGTGCTCAATCTCAATGTGTCGATGGCTTCCTGCTGGTGGACCAAGGCTCTCGCGACTAACTTGAAGGTCTCTCGATTGAGCCCTCCGTCCTGTTCGCCCTGTAGAGAGCTTCTGCCACCACCTCTGTAGCGTCCCGGCTGACGCTTGTTGGGTCCCTTGCCTTTCCCCCCTTCGTTCTGCTTGCCCGACTTGTTGGGACGCTCTGTGGTGCTCTGCTGATCCGACTCTGCAGCGGGAGTGGCCCGCTTCCCCAGGAGAGGTCCGAACATCTCCTTCAAAGCATGATCCGCTGCTTGAGGCTCCATGACCGCAGAAAATTGCTAGGGAGCAGGCCTGAAACAGGGGAATGCAAGTTGCAAGATGCTGCCTGGGGTGGGTGTGAGGTTTCTCGCAATACAGACAGGGCGAGAGAGCACCGCCTACACGCTTCGCTAGCTGCGTGGCCTGAGCTTCGAGAGGAGACATATCGGGGTGAGCATGTTTGTAGTGAATCTTGATGGTGCGTGCAGCTGCAACCCACTGGCCACACAGGAGGCAGTGACTATCCAGCTGAGGCATGAGCGAGGAGCGCAGCAGAGCGGCCAAACCTTTGTTCCTGATAATAGTGGTAGCAAAACTCCTGAAGGCACTGGGCTCACCGGGCACCGCCGGTGGTGGGTCCGTCAGGGGAGCATGATGACCTGTCGCGGAGGGCGTAGCTTGGGGGTGTTCGGGCTGTTGCAGGAGTTTCACTACTGATGGCGGAGGTGCTGGGGCTGCAGCAGTCTCTGCTTCCTCCACAGCGACTTCACGGGGAGTGTGAACCGTAGGCGGGGGCACCTGCCCGGGCTCCGGCTCTGGGGAGGTTTTCTTCAAGCTGCCCTTGGTCGTGGAGTCAGTGGGTTGCGTGGAAGTGAAGACCTGGTGCGCCTGTGGGTCCATAGCCTGGGTCGGGACGGCACCTGTGCATCGTTGATGTGTAACATGAGCCTCGAGAACCTCCCACCTAGTGAATGAAGCACCACACATGGCACAAATGGGCATGCCGTCAACTGCGTGCTTGGAGCGATCAAACTGGACCGGAGGCATCCGCAGCTTATGCACCTTCTTCATGTGCCAGCGCAGGGTGGAAAGGAGCGGATATCTTTTGTTACAGTGTGTACACTGGAAGGGTGTAGGAGCGCATTCGGTGCCAGCTGGGCCGCCAGTGTCAGGTAGGGTGTGATGATTAGGCAAGGTTGGAACTGTGTTGGTGTGGTGTGTAGGATGGTGGTAGTGGTGGGATTCGGGTGTCCCTATGGGCACTGCAGGATGTGAGGTTTGGGACAGCAGACTGTGGACCTGAGGCTGAGCGGTAGGCGGCGGTGTGAACTGTGATTCTGAGGCCGGGACTAACTGCTCGCTCCACAGGGCCATCAACTCCTGCATCCAGGGGTGCTCCGAAGGTTGCACGAACGGATCCTGAGAGTCGCGGCTGGCTACGAGCTTTGCATGTTGTGTACGTAGTGCATGAATGGGCTCCGCGACCCGGAGGCGTTCAAGTAAAGCACAATCAGTCTCGTGCGTCAGGTGAGCTGGGGCCTTGGCGATTGCCCTCAACTGACGTAGCAACACCTGATGTAGACGCTGCATCTGTGTCGTTGTGAGTCCACATGCTCCAAGGCCGTAGAGCGCACTGGGTAAAACGGTCGATCTCCAGAGAAGGACTCTCTGCCCAAGTGTGAGCCCCCGGCGGCCTTGCAGAATCTTGCGAAGCCGTTGTTGCGTCGCCTTGCACTTCCCAATACGGTGCTCAAGCGTGAGGGACCGGAAATTACGGTAGGAGATTACAGCTCCCAGGTACTCTGCCTGGCTGACTATAGGGAGGAGGGCATCCCGACCAGAGGCACGTATTGTGAGGTGTCTCGCTCCCTGTACGACCCTGCTAAATTCCGTGATTGCCCTTTTACGCAGGGTGCCCTGCATTGTGAGAATTACGGAGGCCTTTGCCGCGTTGACTATCATTCCGTGCTGCTCCAGCGTGGTGAAAACCACCCCTAGGCTCTGGCAAAACCGGTCGAACGCTAGGTAGGAGTCAAAAAGGCAGGAAATGTGCCAGTCATCGGCGTAGAGCGTCAGATGTGTGGCAGACCACGATTCCCCTAGCTTGGCATCCAATTTTCTGGTGATCATTGTGGAAAACGCTGCGAAAAGAAGTGGAGACACTGGGCATCCCTGTTTGACACCCCTAGATGACGATATCTCTGCGGTGTGTTGTTCAACTCGGATTCTGTATACACTGCGGTCTATCCAGTGCAGGAGTAGCCGCGCCGGATTCTCCGGCACACCCGCTTCATGCAAGGCTTCACGTAATCCTGACCGAGGCATAATGTCGAACGCTGTGCTCATATCGAGACAGGCCTGGACTCCCCCTGTAAGCGGTGCGCTCTTCAGTCCGGCCCTTTTGTGGTGGACGTTCCGCGCGTGCTGTTCCCTGCGCGCCTGTGCTTGGGAGCAATGGTGAAAGACTCTTCGTAGCGCTTCTTGTGTGGACCGTCCTTGTACATACGCAAATTGTGGGGATGCGAGGACGTACGTTTCCAGGTCATGCCGAATTTTGCGAAACAACATACTTATCGACGCTTTACCTAGGGCGTCGATGAGGCCAATCGGCCTATAATGAGTGGGCAGCGTGCCTTGTTTCCCAGGTTTGAGAATCAGGGCTAGGCTCGCTACACTCCATGTTGTGGGAACTGTGGCCGCGCCTTTGCTCCAGCGTTGTGTGAGATCTGTTGCCACTAGGTGCGCCACCTGATCACCACAGATTCGCCAGATGGCGCCTGGAGAAGAGCCGGGGAGTCCCGCCTTGGAGGCCTGTAGATTCTGGATGGACTCTAGAACCTCATCAGGTGTGACCGGAACGTCGTCCTCAAGATGAATGTGGGCTTGAGGTTCGGCTTGGTCAGCCTGATACAGTGACTCAAAGTGTGTCCGCATTTCACGCAACTCGTCCTCCGGCGTGAGAAGCTTCCCATGCAGTTGGAGTTGGAACTTGCGGTACGTGGCCCTAGGTGCCATTATCTGGATGAGGCGATAGTGTTCTCGAAAATCGTGTTGTTCAGCTGCTCGCCTGGCTGACTCCAACAAGTCTTGCTGCTTTTGCTTACGGAGAAGTTTACCACGCGCCTGGGCAGCGCGATGTAGCCTATGGAAGTACATGGTGTGTTTCCAGATGCGGAATGATTCAGCTAGTGTGGGCTTGCCTAGTGACCTACGGATAATGGCGGATCTGGCACGGAAATGTCCCCACATGGTCTCAGCGTAATGGGTGTGGGTGCCATCCTGCCAGGGTTTCGCCGCCCGCTGGGGAGGCCGCTTAGGGAAGTGTATGCAGGCTAGCTCAAAGACCTTGGTTTGAAGTTGCTCGATGGACAACGGGCCCTGGTTAACTAAGGTCTGGACGTCCGCACGGAAGCGAGGGATCCGCGGGTCATCCGCAGCGCTGCTCGCGCGCAGGATGTCGAAGCGATCAACCTCTGTCTGATTGGTGAGGTGCTGAAACTTGCGATGCTCCCAGGGTTGCCAATGATACATGAGGCTCGCCTGCACGGGCGTGTGACGAGGGCCGCCTCTCCAGCGTCCGACATGGAAGTCCGGCATCGGGCCTGCTAGCTTGGCTTTGCCGCCGGCCTGTAGTCGACGGGTCAGCCAGAAGTCGATCTGCGACCTCTGCTGATTCCATTGATATGTGTGTGCCTGAACTGCCTGGGAGAACGTGTTAAGGAAGACTAGATCCAAGCCCTGTACTATGGCCTGCAGATCGTCAGCGTCCTGGATGCCGTGATCTGGTTTGGGCAGCACATTCGGTCCAGCGTGTGGATGAGAGGCTGTGCATGGGGTATTAAAGTCTCCGCCGACCAGTAGTCGGCTACGCAGTGGGACTGCTTGTATTTGCTGAGTGAGCGAGTCCCAGGCCTTGTGCCGGAGTGACTGAACATGTTTGGTAGGTCTCCAGGTGTGCTGATAAAAATTGATGACATCAACCTGTCTCGGACCGTGTTTGAACTGCACTCTCATGAGCCTGCCGTCTATCGCTGAGACATAACGCAGTGAACCTTTGTCAACGATTCGTTTGGAGATGATGGTGAGCAATCCTGCCTGATTATGGTCCTTGGCACTGGTACCTGAGTGGATGAAGTAGTGGGCGGCATCTTCCCACATGGATTCGAAGCGCCACTTAGTCTCCTGCAGCAAGATGACATCGAAGTCAGATCGTTGCAGGTACAGGAGGAGTTCATCATAGAGTCCCCCTCCCAGTCCCCCTGTGTTCCACGAGATCACACGGTAATGTCTGGAACTACCTTGAGTCGAGGTGCTAGCACGCACGTGCTTATGCGTGTCCCGTGCTGTGGAAGGGTTACGGGGGTCTGGTCCAATCCATTTGTCTCGGTACCAGGCTCCACCTTTGAGCTGTGCTCTGCGTAAGGCTCGCGCGTATGTGCGCTTGTGCACCCTTGTGGAGCCCCGTGGGTGCGACTCATGTGTCGCCTGTGTGCCCAGTGATGGCTTCGCGGGTATGCGAAGAGCCTCATTGGAGGGGTCGGTTCCCGCTCCCGTCACACCCTGGGCTGACGTGACAACCCTCGCGTCTAGCGTTCCAGTACTGATTTGTATCTGAAGGAGCCACATTGTCAGGCGACATGGCCATGTGGACCGGGCGAGTGATGTTCTGGAACGCTCCCCGGACTTGGGACCGGGGGGGCCGCGCGTGTGTACATACGCGACGCTTCGGGATAGGTGTGTGTGGGTGTGTGTATCATCTGCAGTTGTCGTGCAGGCAGGCCTTGTGCTCTGTGTGTTGAGAATCTTGCAGCAC